CTTCATACCACTGTTAATAGTTAAATACGCCTCTTTCATAATTGATCGTACATAATTCCTTCTACATATAAACCCTTATATTGTGATAATTTTGTCATGAGATTAGTAATTTTTATAGTTATATTAGTTTTATTTATTAGTTCTAGTATTATTTTATTCCATTGTCTTTGTAAATTGTAGAAAGTTTACACGGATAACACCTATGTATGAATTAATAAGAAAAATAATAGAGTTTTGAGTAAATTATGATAAATCAATAATTCTATTAATTAGAATTATCAAAATTCTTAATAACAAAATTAATTATAATTGAGATTGCTATCTAAATTTCAATATTAGATCTATTTGAATTTGTTTTAAGATAGAAGGAAAACTCATTCTTTTTATAATATTTAAATTTGATTAGTAACTTTATTATTATCTTTATTATTAATTATGTGAATTTTTTGACAATCTTTGGTTAATCAGAGTTAGTCATTAACTTTGCAACCATGATTAACATTATTAATTTTACTACAATAAATAATATATTAAATAAATATAAATAATAATAAATATAATAATAAATAACTAAGTAATAAATATTCTGTTAATAACTAATAAATAATAATATAGTACTAATTAATAAAATAATAAATAAATATAAATATACTAATAGTATTAATAAAATAAAAAATATTAATGGGAGAAAACTTTAGGTAACAACACCTACCCCATCCCTAATTCATATAACTTATTTTTTTTTGAAATTGGCATTGTATTGTTCACAAAGATTTAGTTTCAATTGGGTCCAGATGTTATTGAAGCTGGTCTATGAATGGTATCACAAAAGTTTAATATTTGAACAGGATCCAATTTTCCAATATGAGAAAGAGAACGTGTCCAGAAAATTGAACTGTTATGAATCATGACCATTTAAACTACTCAGAATAGGTTTATAATATAAAATATTTGTATTATCTTATTACTCTAAATTTATCAACACATTATCTTGTTCTATTGATATTGATATCTCGATCTCAATATCCACTATTAGATCAACTTTAATATAAAGCCAAAAATCAGCCACAACCTGCTTATAGTCTACGTGTAACAAAAAAATCAATTCTATAACTAAAAAATGTCTTCAAAATCTATCGATGAGTGGAAATCTAAGTTAGTTGGGAAAATATTGGTTCGTTCTAAAGATATTTCAACTGTGAGTGAAGTTGATAAAGATAAGGTAATGATAAAAAAAAATTCGAATCTTCCATTTCAAATATTTCAAATCTTACAATATATAATTTTAATAGGTCGTCCTTGAAACAGATCTTCCTGAAGTTAAACGAATTGTTAACAAGGGAATGTTAGTTACTATGGATTGGAAGCCTGAAAGGTCAATAAATTCAGATCATTTATCTATTATTGATTCGGGGGGTTTTTTTTTATTTTTTTATTCATTTTTATAAAAAATTAGGTTGAATGTTCATCTCAATGAAGACAATAAGATTACGAGTGTTAATTATGGATAAAGAAAGAAACAAAATAAATAATTCTATACAAAATTATTAATTTAGTTAAATAACAAATATTTTTATAAATGTAAAGACATTTTTCAAAGGTCTCTTTATAAACACTATAAATTATGTTTTTATTTACAATAATCTTTATACTCATGATTCTTTTTATAAATTTTTATCAAAGCACACAAAATAAAGTGAAAATGTAAGTCCCGTATCTGTCCGAGAATATTATTACTTTAATATCTGGTCATCAGAGGACTGAATTAATATATGATCCTTTTATTAAACATATGACTTTATCCAATTAAATCAATTTTAGACTTAACAGTTTCAGTCAGAACCAAGATTTTTGAATTCTTTCTTGTGAAATTAAAGAATAATTAAATAAAAATGAGTAATAATAAATATAGATATTAATTTTAAAAGTTATTTGAATACTGGTTGATAAACATTTATTAAATTTACCATAATTTTTTATGTTCTAACCTTTGAATGATAAGATATAAGATTTACTTACAAGCTCATATTAAAAAAAAACTATTAAGAATTATTAAATGTAATTTTTTTTTATAATTTTTCATCTTATTGTTTCATGAACTGTAAATTCTATCGAGGAAAATGGTATATCATCATCAGAATCATCGTCACAGGAAATAGGACTTGATTAATAAATTAATAAATGATATAATTAATGTGATGTGATTAATGTGAAAAATATTAATGTGATTGATGTGATATTAATATTATTAATATGTTACAAACATTTTTGGAGCAAACACTTTAATTTGTCTTATATGACTATCTTTTCCATTTTGTTGATTCGATTTGATTGCTATTTGGAAGAGATTTGCACCTACTGGACGACCTGTCTTACTATTTAATCATAAATTATTAAAATTAATTATCATCATAAATTATTATAATTAATTATCATCATAATTATTATTAACATACATACGTTAATGTGTGATCTCCACTAAGTTGAATATCAATCCATCCATCTGGTTCTTCTAGTTCAATTGTTCGCAAATCCTACTTGATCATGAATTTTCAAGTGTTTGACTGGAAAATATAGAATTTGATTTTTTTTTTTTAAAAAAAAAAAAATATAACGTATGAAAACTTTATTATTACCTGTAAATCCCCAAAATTAGTCCCTGCTCTAATAGTTATTTTATTTGGTGTATAACTTTCATCACTCTTGTAATCAAGCCAAAGTGATATTTGCTTATTACAAAATATAAAATTAAATATAGTTAAGATAAAATTAACAAATGAGAAATAATTAAAACAATTATTAATTACCACTACTAAAACTTTTTTGGGAAATTGAATATTGATAAAGTGTGGTAATGTGCCGTCCGATCTAAAAAAAAAAAAAAAAAAGCAAAGATATTATATGTATTCATCATATAAATTTACGAATTTTTTTTTTTAAAAATGAATCTAAAACCTACTGCCAATAGGTTATAACATTATTGTCTCTCAAGTTTTCAATACCATTGCCAGCTTTCCAACTTGAAAGTGACCACATAGCCGATGATCCAATTTCACGTAATTCTATTACGTTTAAAAGCCTAAATATCCGCATCAACGCGTAACAGGTAAAATGGATCCCCAGCTATACCTTCATGTTTAAACTCGCTCCTTATAAATTTTCTTTCTTTCCTTCCAAGAAAGATATTTTCATCATCGTCTACAATACCACCCATATCTTCTTCTGCTTCCTCTGTGTCTGGAACATTATTCGGATTATTCATATTAAACGTGTAGAGAATAAAATGTTTATTTGTCATATGATCAATATCACCAGAAATATTATTTATATCACTTTGTGATCTGTTACACATATTCTCTTTATACTCTTAATTCTTTAATTTAAATAAATTTATATTGTATCACATGATAACTATGATAACTATTACGAACGGTAAGTGTACACACAAAGTCTTCTTTTTAAGTCTTTATTTCACTTACTTCACTTATTAACCCTTAAACATAAAATAAAAAAGTAAATGCACGTGAATTTCTCTCGTAACATAATCGTGGAAGACGTAAAATAAATGCATGTACCATGTAATCATTTTATGAGTTTCCTAATTAAGAATTTGACATTGTCCATTGTCGACAAAATAGATAACAAACATCAGTTTCAGATTTTAATATCACCCAAATAAGTATGTTATTAACTTTAAAAAAGCTTATTTATATATTTATGCAAAATGATAATTTGATAAAGCGTCATAGTTAACATAACATTCTTAGTAATGTCGATTGGAATATTCGATTCAAGAAATTGATCTAACAACATTTTGAATAATATTTATTATAATTAATATTTTAGTAATATTTGTATTATTTGATATACTGTATGTGATATATGTTTAATATTTAATAATATATAGAAATATTTAGTAATAATTGATGAATAAAATAAAAAAAATATAATTGATTGTATTGCATTCTAATAATAATAATGATTTCTAATCCTGACAATAAATCTTAATTTTTATGATGTCAATTTGTTTGGGAAAAAAATTCCCATTCATCGTGAGTATTATTAAAGTTTATCATTTCTGAGGGAGAATAAAACATGTCATATGATATATTATCAACAGTATTGGAATTTAAGATTGTGTCTTCAATGCTTAGATTCATGAAATTATTAACAGGTGTAATTATAGTATTCGACGTTTCATACATGGGGGTAACATTTAGGATAGCATTCATATTATTCATGTTATTCGTATTTGGAGTAACATTCAGATTTGGAGTATCGTTATTCATAGTTGAAATAGCATTCATAGTTGTGATATTATTCATATTTGAAATATTATTCATATTTGGAATGGTAACGGTATTCATTTGGGCGTTAACAATCATTGCATAAATATCCGTAATATTCGTACTATCATTCGTAGTTAAATTATTTGTAATAGAATTAGTAAATTGCTCAGAGTAAATACATTCTGGCATTAAATTAATATCAAAATTTGAAACATCATCGTTTAAAGTTGTGGTATTAGTTTCATTTAAATTTTTGTTGAAGTTATTATTTTCGGATTGAAGAAAATTATTGCTTTCAAACATTAATGGGGAAGATCCTTTAGAAGAATACGGCGAAGAAAAGGAAGGTGAAGAATCGTAAGGTGAAGATAAAGGTGAAGAAATAAATTCTAAAAATGAATTAAAAAAAAAAAAATAATAATTAGTAAAATAACTTATATTAATATCGAATAAAAATAAGAAAAAATAAAGTATAAATACCTATATTATTTATATTATTTATATTATTATTATCATCGTTTATATTATTATTTATATTATTAGGTGTGTAAATTAATGTTGATGGAATAATTTGTTGAAATTGTTGTGGAATTTGTAATAAATTGTTTCCAGAGTTATTAATCGTAACATTTTGCGATGCAATAGTCACATTATTTGTAGTAATAGGTTTAGGTTTTATAGGTCTAAATTGACCGTTTCTTCTTAAATTTGATATTTGACGAGCATTTTTGACAGATTTCGGTGTCGGTCCTCGAGATTTTACTGGGAGAATGTAAGTACATTCTAATTTTTTATCAGCACATCTCGCACACTGTTCTTCACCATCACACTTGGTTTTTGTCTTTTTGCAATTTGTGCACGCATTGATAACGTTTTTTCTTAATTGCTGTTTTGGCATTGTTACGAGATAATAATTAATTTCAGTAAATTTAATTAAATAGTAATAATAGATAATAGTTCTAAAGATCTGAAAATATATGAATATAAAAACGCTTTATTCAATGCTTCAGTGACAATGAAATTCAGTAAATTCCTTTGACCTTTTTATATTTTTTTTTCTCAATCGATTTTTTTAATCCATTTGTTTCAAAGGTTTCAAGCGATCATTCAAAGAACTATGAGATATTGTATTACAAAAAAAATAGTGCATAATGATCATTTTTAACTGCATTAGATAAATTAAATAAATAAATATAATATAATTATTATCTACTGTATAATATATAATTAATATACTGTATAATATATTTAATGATCTTAGATAACTTTCTCGTTATTTGCATCTTATCACCCAAAAATAATCGAAAAATTTCATTTTCGTTAGTCAGAAAAATTCACTGGAATTTACTAATTTCATTGACGCCACAAATTGCACCTTCCAAGAAGAAGTTGTGGCTTGATCTTGGCGTCATATGCATGTTTATTAATTGTTGAACTTGATGATCCTTTTATGATGACACAACATCAAATGAATGCCATTAACTTATTTTTATAAGGTAAAATGGAATTTTCCGAAATTAGTAGTTTTATATTGAGGTGTGATTATATGATGATGTGATTTATGATGATGTTACGGTGATAATACCAACCGCAAATTGATATTGAAATAAAGGGAAGATTTTTAATTTTCGAACAAGTAACCATCTATGGTTAAAATGTTAAGTGATAGTTCTGATAAATTTCTACTTGTTAAAAATAGCTTGTTGAAGGATTTATATAAATTTGAAACAAGGATCTCGATTGACATGTTCATTCAGAATTTATTTATTTTATGTTGTATTGGTGGTACTAAAAACGGTTTATTTTTAATTTTTTTTCTTCCATTTAAAATTTACAAGATATTCAAATATTTTTTTTAATTTTAGTTACTTTAAATCAATTTAGACTGTAAACTGGGGTCATTATTATTGTTACGGATATTTATATAACAAGTATGATAGAAAGCGAGGTTAAAAATAATTTATATAATTATCTAGAACACAAATATTGTCACTATTGTATATAGATTTAAGTAATTTCTTCTTAGATCAACTACTTGAAAAAGTAAGAAGTTAAAACGCTATCTGACAGTCAATAAAATTCACTTGTGAAAATAAATGTAAAACATAATTTATTTGAAAACCTCAAACTTTTTAAATATTTTGGGAAATATGAGATTTTTAAATTAATGATGACTAAAGAACTAAGTACTTTTTTACAGTTAGTAAAAATGACATTTTTTTCAGTTAGTAAAAATGACATTTTTTTATACTTTTGCTAGATTATAGTTATTGTATAAAATCCGATGGAATAATGAATCTTTCATTTCTTAATCTTGATATTTGAATGTAAAAAATAAGCCAATAGATATATTAATTCTTGTCACATTGTACATGAAACTTTTTGCATTCTGGAAAGTCGTTTTCAAGCGCAGCTATTTTAATAGTGTTGCCTCTACCATTTTAACAGGAAATAAACCTTTTGCAAAGATTCTGAATTAGCCTAAGATCATATAATCCTGATACCACATAAGTATCATGTTTTGTTACATATTAATAAATAAAATTAAATGTGTTCTAAAATTAAAAACAGATTTTATACATTATAAGCTAATAACTATCATGTGTTTTTTAAATTTACTTTTGTTAATTATTGTCTGTTTTATTTCTTTATAAAAAATTGCTCCTGATCAATGTGGAATCTGTTATTTTTCAAGTGCATCATATCTATTATTTGAATAGAACTGTGGTTTCACAATAGGTGATTCAAAAGACAATGTATAACTTAATCAAATAATACAATTATAAAAATAAAGAAAAACAACATTAAAATATTTAATTAATTAATTTGTTTGTTTATTAATCATATCTTTTATTATTTGTAACTTTTAATATAAGAGTCAAATCATCTGATTTTATTAAAATATTTAAAATAAATACTTATAATGATAATATGATATTTTATTTATTTTTTATCAAAAAAAAATATCTCAATACTAATTATTTATTATAAGGCTAAATTATATAGAATCTTAAATTATTTGATAAAAATATTTTATTAATTATCATTAATAAAGATGCTGTATAAGTTAGGTACTATACAATGGCTCACAAATATATTATAACACCTGATTTTTTGTCTTTAAAAATTCTAGCCCCTGAACAATATAAACAATAGATTTTAGAAATAGTTATTAACATATTTTAATCTTTGAGATTTGAAGATTTTTTTGAGATATTTTTGATATCAAATTGATAATTCTGATTTTGCATAAACAGATATTCAACATTTAAAATTGTTACTTAATAAGATATCAGTTGTAAATAAAATTTTATACAGAATAATTGTGACCAAGATAATTATAAAGTTAATTATCTTTTAAATTTTATAACAATTGGATTAGTGATTATCAAGAAATTAACTTTTGAAAATTGAAATTATATATATGACACAGGTTAATTACAAAAGAATAAATATACTGAAAAGGAATTCTGATTTTAGCTAATTTATAATATAGAATACAATATAATGATTAATTTTTAGCTAGTTTATAATATAGGAATTCTGATTTTTAACTAATTTATAATATAGGAATTATCATTTGATATAGTGATACTATATATGTTTCCAAAATTGATTTTAGATTTTTGATGTATTTCTTCCTCTCAAACTCTAATCTATATATGAAAATAAAAAAATATCTAGTTAAGTGTATTTTTTATCAAAGAATAGAAATCAAGTTTTAAAAATTTCATTTTTTATTAAGATAATTTTGTCTTCTATAAAAAACTATTTCAATTTTTGGATTTTAAAATATTTTGATAGCTTCATTAAGAAATTTTTGGAGGTAAATATATTCAGATATATTGATAACTTACATATTTATTCATATAAATTACATTAATCCATATTAATTCACATTTATCCATATTAATTTGTATGTTATAACAAATATATTTGTATATATTTAGTTTTTATTAATTGTGAATGTATCACATATATTTGTAAGTGAAAATTTCTTGATACTATTTTGTGTGCAAGTATAAGTGATATAGTGATTTTTTTATATTTGCCTAGTATAAAATTAATAAAAAAAAATTTATATGTAAAATTTTAATTTTCAAAAGTTAATTTTAAGTAATTCTAATTCAATTGTTATGAAATTTAAATATACTATTTCTATTATATAAAATTTTATTTACAATTGAAATTTTTACAGATCAAATATAAAAGAAAATACAATATCAAAAAGAATTTCAATTTTAGTTAATTTATAATATAAAATGTAATAGGACAGTTAATTTTAACTGGTTTATAATATGAAAATTTCAATTTTTAATTGATCTATAATATAAGAATCATTATTTGATATAACAATTCTTTTATATTTGACTAGTATTTAGTAAATAACAATTTTTAATATTGATTATCTATTTATACAAATTAAAATTAATAATTTGATATTAGAAATATTTCAAAAAAATCTTCAAATCTTAAAGATTAAAATATATATAATAACTATTGTTTTAAAATTTATTATTTAGAAACTGGAATTTTTTAAAAACAAAAAATCAAATATTATAATACATTAATTAAAATTTTATAAATATTAATTAAATATTTAATAAATAATATTAATTAAAATTTCATAAATAAATACTATATAATATATATCTGGTATCAAATATAAATAGTATTATTTCTAATATTAGTTATATATTAGATACTTTATATATGACTAATATTATAGATAAAAAATATTTTTTATATTTATTAAATATCTAATATAGGTAAAAATATCTTTTATATATAATGGTTATATCCAATATATAAAAATAATATTATTCTTATTTGCTATTAGATATATATAGTATTTATGAAATTTTGATTAGTATAAATATAATATTTGATTTAAAATTAGATAAATATTAACTATTTAATAGATGTAAAAATATTTTTTTGCATATATCAAATTAGTAATATTTAATAAAATTAATGTATTGAAATAAGAGTACAACTATTTTTTATTACAATAATTTGTAATGTCATAATGTTACAATTACAGTATATTATATATTATAATTCTAATATTAGTTGAAATTTTATAATTACTATATACAATATATCCAATATTAAATAAAAATGATATCATTACTAATATTAATTATATATGGTAACTTATAAAAGTATTATAATATCTAATTTTTTATCTTTAAAAAATTTTAGTTCTGAATAATAAATTTTAAAGTAATAGTTATTATATATATTTTATCTTTAGAATTTGAAAATTTTTTTGAAATGTTTTTGATATCAAATTTATAATTCTAATTTTACATAAATGAATAGTTAATATTGAGAATTGTTCAGATATTATAATACTTTTGTAAAATATTGTATCAAATATTTAATATATAACTGATATAGATAAAAAATACTTTTTATCTATATCAGGTATTCAATGAATATAAAAAAATATTTTTACCTATATTAATTATATTTTAGATATCTACAGTTTTAGTAGAAAAAATTAATAATTTTATTTTTTTAGAATTTTCATTAGATATATATTTTTTTTTCTGTATCATCTGAAATTAAATATAGAATAAATTATTTATTTATATTTTAAATATAGAATAAATAATAAGTTAAATATCACAAATGTTATATACAATTATTTAAAAAATACTATTAATATATACTAGTTAAAAATTGATAAATAATACACATATCAAGTACCCGATATGTGTATGGTATGTCTCTAATATCAGATGTATATTGAGTACCCAATAGGTATAAAAAATATTTTTATATATATCAGATACTTGATAAGTGTAAAAAAATATTTTTTACACCTATCGAGTATCCAATATACACCCAATATTAAGGACGTATTATGTACATATTGGGTATCTGATATAT